TTTAAATCGCCTAAACCAAAACCCACATGTACTTTTGGATACAACATTGACTCCAAGAACAGAACAAATTGATTCACATGCTTTAGTAGCGCTTTTTCCTTGATGAAATTCGTATCGAATGCAGTGTCGAATAAATTGCTTGTCGCTCGTCATTTTAAAACCATTTAATTTTGAGGTTAAGTTTCCAATTTTGTGAAGTCAATTGTGTTTTTTAATAGTACACATTAAGCGCCACTACATATCAAAAGAGCGCGAGAATATTTGAATTGAAGTTTAAATTATACGTTACACAAAAAAATGCTTTAAAACTTATTTGTACACCTAATATTTATCTGTTATTATATGAAAATCCTAATAAGTCCAAAATAGTTCAATAATAATTCTTTTTCAAACATATAATGTTATTTTTGAGATACAACTATTACATATATATTATATTGCACATATACACGTAATATGTGTATATATATATACAATGTATTATATGTGCAATATATATAATAACTCTGTCTAAAAAATGACATTACATGTTTGAGATAAAATTATTACTGGAATTGTATTTTGAACTTATTAAGGCTCCGTATAACAGATTTAAAATAATCCAAAATGAGTCCTGAAAAGGTTCAAAATAAGTCCAGAAAAGGTCCAAAATAAACCCTGAAACTGTTCAAAATAAGTCCAGAAGAGGTCCAAAATAAATCCTGAAAATGTCCAAAATAAATCTGATAACGGATATTTTATAAACATCCGAAGTTGTGTCAAACGTACATCTTATAGATGTACATCAGACATCCGAAGGATCTTTTCTGGATCACAAAAGGATGTCGATGTCCAAAAATGGACGTTTGTTGAACATCCATTGGACGTCCTTGTACTATCTGGGATAGTATTTGACGGATTGCTTAACTTTTATTTGCAAGTAGATCTTGTGAATTTGACGTAGAATCAGAATACTTAAGTTCACTCTCCACTATGAAGATTGTTCTTCTTTGTATCGGTTACTAACCAGCGTACCGCAAGGCAGAGAAACTTTGGTACGATGAAATTATTGAGATAGTTATCTTGAACGCGATGTGAAAGTGCTGTTATAAATATATTAATGACTTTTTATCGCGATATTATTAAGTTTTATATTCGAAAATTAGTAATTAATAGTAAATACGATCTAATTGTTGTTAGTATTTCATTCCGCTTTTCTCATTTCATTAAATATTGGGTTAGAAAAATTTGTATTATCATATGCATTTTCGACATTTTCGTATAATCTCGCATTAATAAATTTTGTTAATTATGTTCCTATAATATAATTTTTATTATATTTCGAACAGTAATTATAATTGTACATTGTATTGTAAACAATTATTATTGTATTACTGAATGTATAAAGGATTACACTAAAAGATAGTATTAAAAAAGTTATGCAATATGATTTTATCGTATTTCGCTAATCATAATGCAATATAATTAGCGAAAAATACAATAAAATAATTAGACATAAAAATAAAAAATTAATTTTAAATATACTTATCTGCAAAAACGGACTACTAAATTTATTAATAACCCGTTTTTTTACGAGTGAATATACTTACAAAGAAAAAAAGGACCGCCGATAAAATCGGCGGGGGGGGGAGAAGGGCTCTAGCTCGTTTTTACTAAATTAAATCTTAAATTAACGATATATGATTGGAAAAGTTTGAAGTGTATTCAAAGTCTTTATAATTGCTAGTAATTGTAGACTTTGGAACATATTTACATACTAGTAAGTATGTTTGGTAAAAACGGGCTGAAAATCTGCATTAAAAACATAATTTCGTAATTCCATTTTTGGAGAAATCGGCTGCATGGCACAAAAGTGCATGAGTCTTTAAGCTCATTGATTTCCAAACAAATCTATATTTTGAACATTTTTCTACGATTTTTTTACAAAGTTATACCGTTTTAAAGAAAGTGTTACAAAATAAATAATTTTTTCTTATAAATTCAGTATAACTTAGAAACAAATTATTGTAGGAAATTTTATTAGAAAGGAAATTAAAGCATGAAATTCAAATTTTAGCTCTTTTTAATTTCGTGTAAATGCGTGCGTGTACATATGCATGCGTGTGTACATATGCATGCGATTGTTGCAATAGATTTATCGTACAGACGCGATAACTCTTTCCAAATCTGTGTCGCCCATAATTGGTACAAACAATTCCTCAGCCAATTCTCGAGAACAACATCCGGTGAGAATAGGTAGGACAAACAGAATCTTCGCCAGTTTGTTCTCTCGATCGTCTTGCTGTTGGAGATGTCGTATTAGAGTTTCCACGGCATTATTTCTCGCTTGTGACATTATGTGGACACCGTTTGTAGTAGTATTGGCGATTTCTGCAATTTAAAGCACACTTATTGCAATGTAATCGCATTTTTATCATTGAGAAATTCAGAAAATTTTATTGGTACTATCGAAAAATTATATGACTTTCTTGCATATACATATATGTATTGTTTAACTTTTATTTACCTGGACGACACAGCGCAAACGTGTCTAAAACACATAATTCGACATCGTCGAGTTGCAATTTTTCGATCGCAGTGCGTGTTGCAATTATGCAAGCTAAAGCACTATTGTTACTCGTTGCACTTTGTCCTCGTATGTTCGTTAAATCAACCGGCCACGTAGCTGCGCGTAAAACAAAAAGAGCAGACCATCCACGACGAAGAATTTTGTTTTGGTCCTCCACATTCAGTATTGAAAAATCTCGGTGACGACGTGCATTCCGAATAGCTGCCAGGAATATCTGCGCGGATATTTCGTACTGTATAACCGTGCCTGCGTGCAATATAAAATTCTATTAATTTATCGTAAAAAATATATATATCGCAACGATTATTTATTTGCATTACTCCACAAATCAGAATTTTTCTTTAAAACTGGAAATTGATTTGGGGGTAAAAAAAAAATAGATTTCATTAGGATATTTCATTAGGAAACAGCACATACATACACACGCTGGTTAGATAATTGATAAATTTTGTCTAAAGTTAAGTCTAAGAATAATTTAAATATTCCAAGGAAAGAAAATTACCGGGTGATATAATCCTCGTCGGTTGTGCATAACGCGTCGTGACAGGAAAGAAAATATTCTCTCTACTTTCAGATTCGTGTAACGTCTTCATCATTAAAGTATTATTCAGTGTGGAACTCTTGAAAGGCAAATATATTTCGGAATTATTAAAACGTGCATAAAAAGACGTTGATGGATCAACTCTAGGCTTCCAGGTGCTGTTAGAATTATGTGGATTTGAGAGCGAATTGTTCCGAGCACGTGGCCCTCTTTCTTCCTGCACCGCTGTAAAAATATATACTTAAAAAATTTAACAGTATCTTATAAAAAAAAGTAAAGGAAGCTCCTACTAATTCTTATTTATCATTAATTTTTATAATTGGTTTTGAGAAGAATAAAATAATTTTTTTTTGAAGATAAGCAATTACTCCAACAACAATTAAATATTATTAAATATATTTCATAAAATTTAAATATGCTTTGTTTATTAGCTTGTTTAAATATTATATTTTTGAAAATTGAAAAATTTTGTGAAGTTTCTATACTTATTGTGTTACATTTGCGTCTTTATTATAATATAATCAATGTGAAAGTGTATATAACGATGTAGTTGAACAATTCCAGTAGGGTGGCTCTAGTTCTTCGATCACAGGATAAGGTTTGTGTATTTAAGAGCAGACGACCGGAGTTGACACTCGATATCATTTCTCGTGACACATTATGGCAATGGCTACTACTAAATTATTTACTGTGTGTGGATTATCCATGAAAGATGGTTATCGCAATTTGTGTTCGTTACATATATCTATCCTTATAACAGATATAGTTTTTCTCAGTTTCTCCTAAAACTTTTAGATTTTCCGTTCATTTAACACTATATTTGTCACTATTATTGCATTGAAATACACGTATATATATATATATATATTTATGTATGAAATAAAGGAATATAAGATAAACATCAAATTAATATCAATTGTCCACATTACACAGTTCTGCTGTCAATTAACTTTTCTGGATATCGTTAAGGATAAAGGCACGTGTCTAGCACACGCCATTGTTTGCATCTCGTTGAGTTTGTTAGCACCTTGCTATGTTTACCTGTTAGCGGTGATTTTATGTTCGCCCCCGCGATATGAGATTTTATAAAAGATACATATCGATTTAATTTAATATTATTCGGAATAAGAATAAATGATTCAATTTAAAATTAAATTTATTTGATTATACAAAAAAGTCACAACCTATAATTTTTAAAAGAAAGTTTAAATTATAAGTTAAATTATGCATACAATACAAACAGTTGATAATGTATCTTGACCTTTATGCGAACGTAAAATACATCTAATACATCAACAACAATTTAATATTGTTTTATGTTAATTATTGCAAAAAGGTTAAACCTCATCAATGACTTTGATTTTTACATACAATTAAAGTTGATATAATCCTGAGTTACGCATACCTTGAATCACGTGTAAGTAAAACTTAATGTAATCGAAAATAAAAATTCAACGTCAAAAACTAAAATAGTCCGCCACGTTATTTAAAGTGTGCATAACTCAGGATTATATCGACTTTAATTGTATGTACAAATCAAAGTCATTGATGAGGTTTAACCTTTTCGCAATAATTACCGTTAATTTTAAAACAAAAACTTGATTCATTATCTGAGTACCTAAATAGTTTAATATTTAAATTTCTTTTAAGAAATTTTTTTGTAAATATATTAAATATTTTACCTACCTGCTGTATTCATGCCAACGGAGAAACATTTCTTTAGACGGCAATGTGGACACCAATTTCGTCTAGCTTTGTCAATGGTGCAGGATCCATCACTATCTAAAGAATTATAAGTTCGATTATTAATATGATATTTAAGTAGCATTTCCTAGTATTATTCTTTTGGTATTGGGTGATACTGGCATGTTTTTATATTTCACTACTTCTGTATAAACGTTTAAACGTGTACAAACTTGTGCAAGTGAACAGAGCACCACGACGCACGGATCTCTTAAAGAAACACGAGCAACCATCGCAACAATAAACACCGTAATGTTTCCCATATGATCGATCACCACACACTTTACAGGACACTGGTGTAGGTAGAGTTCTTCCTATTATGAGAAATGTTATCGTTTGTCAGTTAAGAGTTTTATTAAGATTACTTTTGAAAATTACAATTAATTACAATTAATTTTATTATGAGGAAATTATTTGTACTTTTTAGGCGGTTCATATATTACGCGCAATCATACCATGAAATATGTGTTATTTGCGATTGAATAAATTAAAATAGATATTTACCCATTTTTTTTTATTTTAATGCAACAAGTTCAAGTTCACACAAATCGGGCGAGTTTTTGTAATTCGAATATGAATATTATCGCGCGATAATATCCGAGCAATGATCAAGGTGATCGTGTCCGACCGGGCTCGCGAATGAAAGCAAACTCTATCAGGACGTGGAACGCACCCCTGTTCGAGGGAGACTTAACTCATTGGTGGTGGAAATGGACGGACGTAAGTTGGATTTGTCCGACACGTCACTTCAAATGTCAAAACGCGAAAGGATAATATTTGCGATAGACTGATCGAGCGTGACACTATTGTTCAATCATGAAATTATTCCAGAATAGAGAACCGCACATTCAACTTTTCAATCAATTATTCAATAATGTAACGAATTTTTTTTGTAGAAGTGAAATCGCAATTTTTTTATTAGAAAAAAATTTATTTTCTTGGTTTACAATATTGTTTGATGGTTTGAAAGATACATAAAAATATACTAAATAAAACTTCACAGATTAATTTCTTATTTCCGCGTATATTTATTACAAGAATTATTTTAAATTTTTTTTAACAGAAAAGTTTTAATTTCTTTTATTTATAGGGAATACGATTAAAAAGATAGAATTAAAGAATACTATAGGAAAGCATCTGATTTTACGAATATCATGTTTTTATCGTTATCATATAAGATATGTACTTTATATCAATATCAATTACGTATTATATATCAATATCAATTATACAATAATTTATTTGTTCACATACAAAAATGTAAGGGATATATATATATATATATAAAAGGAATATATGTATATGTAACTTCAAATTATCCTATTATTGCGAGAATTTTAATACTAAAAGAAGTGCAACGTGATTGATTTATCTTTTGTTCAACATTAAGTTTTTATCATTTTATACTATATTATTTTATAAATAGGATCTCTCTTTAGCTCGAAAAAAGAAACGCAACTTCTCTGTTGTCTTAAGTGAGTAAAATTATTTATTGCGCATTGCAAAAGTAGTGTTACAGAGGAACTATACACAAAAATTCATTTTTCATTAATGTTAGCTAAATATATTCGTCAAGAAACCGTGACAACGGTTTCGAGTCAATAAATTATAAGAATGTTTCAGACTTTTCCTAGTTATCTTTCGAAGTGAATCATTATTATATTCGTGCAGAGATTACGGCTAAATCTGATAATATTGTATTCGTGCCTCGAGAATTTAACTTCATCCTCTGCAATTAAAAATTTGCACATTTTTATTTTGTTTATTTCTTATAATTATAAATTTTATACTTATTATATTTATCAATATAATATTTCATACAAAAATCAACACATTTCAAGCAATCATGCTTGAAATAGAATAATTATAAGTAAATGTTCTAATCCAGTATAGTAGTAAATAAAGCAATGAAGAGTTGTCGAGGCCGAAAAAGTCTATCTATTCCTAATATTGCAATAGTTTATTATGGAGATTATTTACAATTAAGTACTCTGGTTGTGCAGGCATTTGCAGTGTAACAAAAAAGTCGTGAGATATAATCGGCATAAATATAAAAAAAATATTATTTTAACACTTACAATAAATAACGAAGGTATTTTTCTCTTTTATACTCAGGAAGTCAAAATATTACTAACTGATTAGAAAATTGAAAAGTAATACGATATTTCATTGCTCTTCAAATGCAAAAATCATATTTCTATTTGTTATACACTAGCCTTGCCAAATCATCATTTTTATTAAGTATTTTTGCGCTTTTGTCAAACCAGGAAGCACTCTTGCACTGATTGTATCATAACTCAGCTATTTACATATATCGGATATTCAAACGCAAAAAATGCATTAAATATGGAAATGTGCTTTTCATATTAATATTTTATACTTTCGTTCCATTTTCTCGTAATTCCAATTATTACCGTTAAACTAGCAAAATAATTTTCAATACGCATCGTCTTTCATAACTTTTTTATAATCCCTGTCATTGACTAGAGATCCAGTTTCTCGCCTATATATCAACGACTCGTTTAAAATCAAAGTTTTTAAGATGTATTGATATTTTTTTCTTCTCAGATAATTTTATTACAACGTCCATGCATAAATTTTTGTATAAAGTAATCCTTCTTGAAAACTTACGTATTTTCTTGAAAAACAGTATTCTTCTCTTTTGGATTCATAACATTTCAATTTCTGTCACCGTTTTTCTTTGAATTTTAAAACAATTTGCACGTCACTGACTAGTCCCATGTTGCAGAAGAATTCTTCTTCCACACATTTGTCAAAGAAGTGTCTTAATTGTTAATTTCGTTATTCTCTCTTGCTCTTTTCTCAAATAATCGGATTAAAATCCAATCACAATCTTCAATTCTAATATACCTTCCATTCTTTTAATTACTTTTTCATTATTAAACTTTCATAAGTTTCTTGGCAAATTCTTGAATAATCCTTACTGCGAAAAAGATCTTCATTTTTCAACGCGTCTGAATCTATTTTCGAGGCAATTCTAATGAACAAACGTCAATTACTAAACAATTACGAGGACGCGAGTAATTTTGCCGCTGTAGTGACATGATGTTGATGATGATAGGGTGCCTCCTGGGTGCCATAATAACTCTGTTGCTGATGTTCGCTGGTAACAGTTAATTGATGAGGATGTTGATAATAAGATGAGTACGGTTGACCAACGACGCCATCACAGCTCCGCGGTTCCGTTTTCACAGCAGGTACATTTCCAGTCGCCAAAAGAGAGGTATGTCCGAGGTAAACAGGTCTATCGGTCGACGTTGATGAGCCCGATGACTTTGATACTTCGATCTGATGTTGCTGTTGTTGTTGCTGCTGCTGTTGTTGATTGTTCTTCAAGTCTGTAGAAAAATATTCGCGACATTAAAAATAAATCGATGTATGTATATTATATCTAAATAATAAAGTAAAGAAATCAGAAAAAAACATAAACACTTTATAAGTATAAGATACAAGGAAAATGATATTTTTATTGATATGTAATAACTAAATTTAAAATTAAAAAGCAAATTTTTTTAAATTGTGAGTAATGAATTACGGAAAATTAATTTCTATCGTTATTACTAATTATAATATCATGTTTTTAGTTTATTTATATATTAAACAGAAGTTTATTTTAGAGTTTATATTTTTATGCATCTACTACACTATCACACAAGAGAAAACAAATTTAACATTTACCAACCTGTAGAAGGAGAGGATGTCGTTGAGGCAGTGGTTTCATGATCCCCCTGAGATGATCTAGCATTCTGTTCTGGAGTCTTCTTCGGTTTTCTCTTCCTTGTTTGTATACCATCCTTTCGCATGGCTAGCGGCCTATTGACTCCGTGCAATTTGAAGTATAATCCACAAGCGTTGCACACTGGCTCACCCTCGTTGTTGCGCCTCCACAAGGTGGTGGTGCGAGTGCCGCAGTTTGTGCAGCACAGCCCGAGTCGCCTCGTTGCGGTCTGAAATTCCGACATCTGTCCCATTTGTAACACATGTCAAGACGACTCAAATGAAAATGCAATTATTGTGAATAAACAGGGTATTCTTAGAAGAATCAAACAGATCCCTCTTTTAAAAGACGTTCCATTGATAATAAGGATGTGACATAACTTTATATATGAAAGTACCGAAAAGTAGTATCGAAAAATATCTTTGTAAACCGATAACATTTTCATGCTAAAAATTATTGTTAAAGATCAGAGGTTCTTTTCGCGGGTATAGCATAGAAAGACGGCTCTTCACAAAATACGTAGACAATCTTTTGTTGATGAACTTACCAGGCGTTTTGAGGGCTTGATAAGCGGTCTATTCATGCCGTTCATCTTATGATAAAGTCCGCATGCATTGCAAAGATAATGGCCGGTGCCGTCTCTTCGCCAGAGCGGCGTCGATATCGCGCCGCAATTTACGCATTCGCGACCCTCGCCAAATTGGAAATCCATTGCGGTATCTGTAATCAGTTTCATATTTGATTGATTAATTAACGGACAGTTAATTTATTTAATGTTTATTGTAATTTATATACAACAGAGGACAAAAATAATCAATTGAAATTTGGAAAATATATAGCAAGAGATTCCAACGATGCATATTTAATTGAAAAAAATTTAAAAGCACTAACAATAATTGGGCGAGTTCAAGACGGCAAAGCGGCTAGGCATGCTTACCGAGCGATTAAATATGATTGGTTGAATCTATAAGTAACAACCAATTACGTTCATTTGCTCGGCGAGCAGGCTAGCCGCTTTGTCAACTTGAACGCGCCCATTGACACCAAAAGTAAGACATTTTGATTTCATTTTGACAATGTTAATTGCAAACTTTTGCCGAGTTTCTTTTTACGTATCACGTTCCTCTTTTATTCTCTACTCGTTTTGCGTGAAAATTCGAGATTGGTTTTATTCGTGCCGAACTGATGAGATAAGCCCGTTCTTTACATTTTATCTAAACGTCTCGAGGACGCCCGTAGTGGGATTTACATTTAGACGGCAAAGCAAGGCAGAGAATGCGCGACGGACTGTTCCCGACTCTCCAGAGGAAGCATCCGCCCGCGCTGGCTCTCTGAACCGATTCTCCGTCGCTACGCTGTAAAACACTTGACCGCGGGATCGACCCGGCTCACTTCAAAGACACCGCTATCACTTATCCATCGCACATGGCCCGCCGCGTGCACGGCGGTAAATAGCATCCGCGAAGAAAAGTAGCTTCTTTCTCCTCGTCTCAGCACAGCGTTTTTCTTTCGAGCGGTGCTGTCACAAAGTCAGCGTTAATCACCAAGTTAAATGTTTCTTTTCACGCGCGTTAATATGATATTTTATTATCGAATATCGTTAAAAGATTCACACAACTATGCATGTCTGCAAATATAATATCCAGCTAGAAAATCTTATAAAGTTAAATGAGACAATTTCGTCAAGCGCTATTACTGCGCATGATCACTTATAGAAAGTTTCAATTGGAAAGCTCTCGTTGGTTCTCGTCTCTTAGCCATCGAGATGACATGAAAATAAAAGATTTACCTCCAAAAGGAGGATTTAAGTCACACTTTAGAAACCGTACGCTTGACAATTCCACGAGTACTCCCTCACGAACTCCATTTGTGATATCGTCTGCGGTTTCGATAAACTAATCGGCACCATAGGAAATTGCATGCCTACATATCTTATCGCCGCGGCATACGGGTAGTTCCCATAACTTTTGTTTGTTTATCATTGCGACTTCACGCGTGATGCACGCCAACGAAAAGCGATATAAACACCTCCATTTTCACGAGCCATAGCGAGCAAATTTTAAGTATAGCAGGGAATGATAACGAAATCCAGCTACATTAGTGATATTTTTACGTCAGAGCGAGTAAAGATAGCGCAACACTCTTATAACATTACTTAATATAATCATACCGATATAATAAGTTATCAATATTTGTGTAATTAGTATCTTTTAATATATGAAGTTTTAATATATGAAGTATCTTTTAATATATGAAGAAAATAATTAATTTCGCTGTTTAATATTAATTTTTTTTTTTTAAGACGACCGCTCTAATAGCTTTTTTATTCGATTTCTCAGAAATATCAGTATTGATATTATTTAATTCTATCATATTTTATTTATTTGACGTGTGCACGTTATAATGTGTAAGTTATGATTATTATCATAATATCTATTAAAAAGCTAACATGAAAAAACTTTTACTTTTGCCGCATCGTGTGCAAATTATATTTGTTTGCGAAGGTATAGTAGTACACCCACATAGTAGATATGTGCAGAAGCACATTTATAAAAAGTCGTACATATTTGTACATACGAACCATAAGGTGATGCACGTTGAAAACCGGTGCCGTCGTAAGCGCGCCACGAGGACATCATCGCGACGTTCTGCGCATAGAAGGGTGCAGCTGCGGCTGCGGCGAGAGTTGAATGAGGATGCGTCGCGTGCGGATGTCCCGCATGCGGATGGCCAGGTCCAGCGTGCGGTCCCATCGCCGCCGCGGTACCGCTCGTGTGTCCGGCGAGCGCGTGATGCGCCGCATACGTCTCCACTCCGTGCTGCCAGGATGCTGTCTTTTCCCTTCAAAGGATCAAGCATATTTGACGTTTAGTTAACGTGATTTCAAGCACGTGTTGACGCACGTATGATTTTCAAAAGTCATCGTACCATGCGGGCGAGGGTGAAGTAGGGAAGGAATGATATTGCGCTGCCGTGGCTGCAGATGGAATTGCTGGTCTAGACGATGGAACGTAGACAGGCGCCTGGAGCTGCTGCCCGTGTTGCTGCTGTTGCTGCTGGGACTGCTGCTGGTAATCGGAACTTGCGCCGTACCCGCCACTTCCGCCCCCGTGGAACATCCTCCTCGAGAGCTACCACCGTGGCATCTGTCGAAAATAAAGATATCGAAAATTATTAACACATCTCCATCTTCCATAGCTCTGAAGAGCATTTTCATTTGCATCCTTTCAAATACATGAATATTGTACTCTTGGCAAATTGCATAAATTTTGTTAAACTTTTAGTATCGTACAATTTTTAATATGTCATAATTGATTGAAGTTCGCGTATTTCAATAATCCGTAACTTATAATTAATCATCTTTATAAACAGTTACGACGTGAAAATCCCTTTAATTTTAAAAAAGTAATCCCTTTAGTGTATTGATGCCGACAATATAAAATATAAGTGCAAAAGCGCAAAGTACGGCGGTAAGTATTTTGCTAAAGGGTTGCCGCCGGCAATCTCTTTTGCTACCATGGAAAGATATATCGTTACGCTGGTAATATGGCAATAATACATCCTGCAGCAGATAATGTTAATGATCCCTTTAGAGCCGATAACCGGCCATGCATATTGAGATCCCGCCAAGCGTCATGTAAGACGAGCTAATGCGGCATGGGCCGCCCATGAGACCAAGGTTGACCGTGAATAAATGCCGAATCCTGTCATGGTCACCGTCGGGTTCTCTTCTATCTTGTCTGCCTGTGTAAAGGAACGATTTTGTGGTCGTGGATCAGGAAACTATAAGTCTTTCGACTTACTTGAGCGAGTAATGTCTTTCAAACTTCGAATAAACTTTATGACAGGCAATGAGAACATTGATCGAAAGGGTATTCAATTTTATTTAGTTTTATCATGTGTGCTACATATAAGATATTTTTTACCTCTGTTTATGCATATTAATATAAATATGCGATTTTAATCGTAACATTTGTTGAATTTAATTGAATGTAGGTAGATGTATAAATTTCTTATCACGACGAGACGATATAAATTAATTCTATTTTTTCTAATTTCTCATATTATTATATAATCGAGATGACCGAACGAATATAATGACGAGTCTTTTACTTGTAATAACTGACAATTATGTGTTGAAAGCAATTTCCGCGCACGTGTTGCACGATTTTATTATATTATGTAGATTTCGCAACTGATCGATATACTGATACCGATACTATTGCGGCATGTCAAGAATTTATTTCACAGTATTGTTAAGAACGAAAATAGCATACGTAGCCCGATATATACATTGGTATCTCTTGCACACCGCATCCATTTTGGTATGTGAATCCTGTGCCGCCCACACGTTTCATTGTTAGGATACGCATCTCCTTAAGAATATCTGCAGCCTCACCATATCTATGCAACCCATTTGAGTGTGATGCATAGAATATGATGCCGTTTGCATTGCAAAATTTAGAAAAAACAGATTTCATCAGCTAAATATATGAATTGTATGATATATCGTATGAGCTTCTTTCGTTCTGGCAAAAACGAACGTCTATTTAATTATGTCACTTCATTTCATTTTACATGTTTCTACGTATTTTCAATATTTTTGTTAATTTATTATCATTTTCTCTTAATTAAAGTTGCAAATTGTTATAGTACCCCAAAGGAAATAAATAATATCAATCAACAATAATAATAATAATATTCAATGAAAATAAAAAGTATATGTTGATATATAATTTTTGCAACGTTTGGTTAAACAAATAATAATTCGAATGAACAAAAGTATCGGCAAAATTTAAGCATTCCTAAACGCATAATAAACGCAAGATAAACCGGGCAATAGGGTAATAGGTATTGAATTCTCGCAAGTCTTGCCACCCACAGTCATTCCATTGTCTCGGATACGCGTTTTCCAAGCGATCGTAATACCGCCACGGTTGGCATATGTTCTACGAGTCGGCCCTCCGCGACGGATCCAGGTATCAACCTCCGAAAGGAGCAGTGGACAGATAAAATATAGCTCGTACGAAAAGAGAGATATACCGAAATACATTCGCGCAAAAGAAAGAAAAAAAGGAAGAAATCGAGAAGCAAGAAAATTTTTTATTTGTATAAAAAGAATTATATTCGCGTACCTACTATTTAAAGCTTTCAGAGTGAATATCATTCTAAAAAGTGAAATCTCACTATTAAAGATCAATTTTTACTCTTTAAAGTGAAATTCCATTCCAAGAAATTTAGAGAGGGTATATCTTATCCGATTTATTATTACCATAAAGCGCGAAATACGCTGCATCAGTTTAATCATTGAAATTTAAAATGTAAGCAATAATAGAATATTTGTTCATAGAATATATTTGGTAGTTAATAATATTTTACAATATGTTGAATATTTCATGGAGAAAATCGCACGGCGACAACGTCCTTGGTAATTATTTTTGCGTAGACGCGGCATAGCAATTGCGTGTGAGGTGGTTGCGTATGTACACAAGGTCGCCGTGCTATCATTCGCACAGCGATACTTGAGTAGGCAGGCAGCGACAAGAATTGCTCTGCGTTATCGAAACATATTCTATGAACAGTTAATGATTAGCACAGTTAACTAGCTTTCTTTAATTCATAAGTATAAGACGTCTACTTGTAAACAGGTATCTTATTAGATTTGTACAAAGTATCAAAGAATTTGAATTCGTCATAAATTTTTTCTATTATTTTCAGTTTAAAATCGCGGTGCAACGCACGAATTGAGTAATACAAAGTGTGAATAATAATTTAGATTGAATAATTCATGAAGATTCGCCGTGTACTCTCTAAATCTTTTAAGGTGAAATCTCACTCCAAAAGACTTGAAAATTGAATCTTGAAGCTTTGAAAAAGAGTGGGGAAATTTTCACTCCGTTGGAGTTAAGGTGAAATCTCACTCCAAAAAACTTGAAAATTGGAGTGAGATTCTCTTCAAGAAAGGAATGAAATGGCTCCTTTTTTCGGAGTGAGATTTTCCCTTGGAGGGAATCACATTCCAAAAGAGTGAAAATCTGCCACTCTTTCAAGGATAAAAATATTTTCACTTTTTCGAAGACTTTGGCACAATTTTCACTCTAGGAAAGTATCGATCTTAGAAACTAGAAAGTATCGATTATTTATTAATAATCAATTTGTGATATACTGAACAACATTTTTGCTCTCCTGTGGATACATCATGACGTAGGAAGGTTCAGCACTTAAAGGGAACGAATAATATTCCTTTATTCCCAAAGGGAAACTATTATAAGTATCTAAACAAGCGCCAATACTATAAAGTGTTGCGTGCGATCGTTATATTAATAATCCTTTCTCAGGAGTGTCGTACAAAGTGCCGCGATCATAACCGTTTACTGTAAAAGTGCAACGAATTGTAAGAGAAAGAAGACAATGAAAAAACAGGAGCAATAACGAAGTTAGTAACTTACTAGTTAGTAACTTACTAGTGAGTAATTTACTTGCAGTATTTATTCGTTTATTTCATTATTTGGACGTTCATTTAAATGATTTAAATAAGAATTAGAGAAAATGAATATATATGATTTATGAAATTTTACAAGAGATTCGTCAAATCCGTTTAGCGCGCCAAGTTGAACGTGTCGCGTTATGCGTGGAGAGACTGGAGAGTAGGGAGTTCATGAGGAGATACGACAAGAGGAGTCGGAGGAGAGAAAACGGAGAGAAAGAAATGCGCAGGTCTCAAAGAGGGGATTTTGCCGCATGTACCTTGGCGGGGATCAAATGATAGTCTACGCGTCGGAGAAAGAGAGGTGCTGTTCAACGAATAAAGACATTGCGAGAGAAAGAGAGAGGCATGGAGCCGCGCAGACGCGTCTCCACCTTCATCGCTTGGCTCCGACCGTTGAATCGGAGATACCGATAGCGGCCATCGCGGTCACAAATATACCTCGTGTAGGCGGGACCAAAGTTTCCGTCGCATGTGTGTAGTTGTACACGTGTATAAGCGAACTCGTGTGCCGATGTAACGCGCAAGTGAACGCATGTGATCGGGTTGTACGATCTGCTGTATAGCGAAGTGAGTTCTAATCAATCAGGTCAGACTAAATTTTGGTTGTTATAAATGAAAATCTATCTCTACTTGTGATATAAAAAGAAATTATACAAATTTTATGAATTTATTTGGGCTAAAAATTACTTATGATACTTAATTTGTTTGTTTTCTTGTATATTAATATTACACGTAGAAAATGAAATTCAATTAAGTTTTCTAGAAGAAGGCCTTCATTTTAAGTTATAGTTTCATCATAATTCTTTTCGAATCAAATTAATGTGTTTAGTATAAATTATTAATATGGCTCAATCAGAATAAATCAATAAATAAAAGAAGGACTACGAGCCAGTTACAATATAAAGAATATTTAATATTCGTACAAACGTTTCGACGCCGATCGGGTCATTTTCAATGTAAACACAAATAACATAACATAAATTGTCGGAGTTTCGATCAGATTATAATATTCAGTAAAACGTATCGGTTATTTCCGTATTCCCTATTATTTGATGTGTGTGGTCCATATGTAAAATTAGCTAGACTGATGTAAATATTTTTTAAAAATCTACTATCTTACAAATAATTCAAAAAATAATAGACTGACATTGAGTTACAGTTTAAATTAAATTATCAAGCATGTATATTTTATAGTAATTTAATACCAATTAAGTTACATACATATATATATACCTTGATTTGTCGTAATGATGTGAGTCAGAGAGAAAAACGCAAAATTAACTAAGTCATACATAGGCAAAAGTAAGCTATGATATGATATATTGGAGAGAATACATGTATTCTCGACGATGTCAGGCGACGTTATGATAAAAAGAAAACAAGGAAACAAAGAAGAGACAATAATTTGAAGGGGATAGCGGACAATGTTAAGAAGGGAAAAGAAATTGAATAATATTAAGATATGATACTGGCAAAGAATCTGTATCATTTTGTTTGTTTATCCCATGTTTTTGTCTTTTAATGTGAACCATCTCCGATATTAGTTTCTTATTATAAGAAGCTTCTATGTCTAAAATTTCAACGTTACCTCAGTCAAAATTATGATTCTGGTCAATGTGGTGATTGGTAATCACCGTTGGAGATTTTGACTTCTTA